CTTTTTTTTTTTTTTTTTTTTTTTTTAACCCCTGCTTCTACAACCTTGAAATTCCTCATGTGACCAGGAATGGGAAGGTGCATATCCCAGCTGGCCACCTTACCATGGAGGCAAGATGCATCCGAGGGTGCTGCAGCCTCGCTGAGTCTCCCTGCCCACCTCCCCTTGCCACCTACTCCCCTGCAAAACGCTGCTGTCGAGGGCAGCAGCTGCTGCCCAGCAGGTATCGGTCCTGCACGCTGAGCGCATGAGGCGGGCGCTGCACTTGTGCTCCACATCCACCCCTGTAAGAGTCTTCACTGCCTACAAAACAAGCTGAGTAAAAGGACCACGAATGCTAAGCCCTACAGGTTGCTGGCTGGAATTTAAAGACTGGTGCCTAGTGCTGGTTGAAATATTTCCTTAAAATTGCTATTCAACAGGAAATTGGATTTAAACATTTCTCCCCCCGTAACTGTCTACTTTTGCTGCAGCCATGATCCAAGTGCTTGAACTGCTTTGTGCTCTCATTTCCCTGCATGGTCTGCAGCTGCCCTCTCCTACCAAAGGAAAGGCCACATATCCCAGGAAACACAACAGGCAGGTGCTTGTGTCTCAGCCTCTCCTGGCAAGGAGGCTTCTTCCMGACTGCAATGGCAAACACTGCAGGTCAGACACGGGCAACAGCAATGCTGTTGACAGGGATGCGTTGGGTTTTCTGCTAATCTAGTTCATTATTGTAATTTCCATTGAAAAGTTTATTTGTCTTTGCAAATAATTAATAGATAGATAGATAGATAGATAGATAGATAGATAGATAAAAGAAAAAACAGCTAGCCCTGCTAACTCTTCTTCTCATCAGATGACTGCGTGTGTTGATGCCCAGGACTCTGAACTTTAAGTGCCAGCTTAAAAAGTAAATAAAAAATGGCTTTGCATTTCACGCCAGTGTCAGCAACGACAAAGAACAACCACCTCCGCGAGTACCCGCTGCCATCTTTGCTAAATCAGCTCTTAGTGACTTTTGCATGGACCAAATCCTCTGTAGAAGAGGCTGAGAGCTTACAGGTAGCAGCAGATTGTGATGAGCTGGTCTAATCATCCCTGTTATCCTCACAACTAGCATAAACAGCCTGTCTCAAGGCAGAAACACAAGTCTGCACCACCAGAAAGACAGTCCTGTCATAAATATCATCTTTCCTAATGGCCTTTTCTAACAGTCCCGAATTCCCAATGAGACAATACTTGACAAGGGAGATACTGATGACATTTCTACTCCCCTTGAGGATAGGGAGCATATGCCCCTACCTGCTACATGCAAACTGATGAGAAAGTCAAGTCAGAATTCAGCCCTGCAAAGCACTCATCCTGAGGCTGAGCAGAGCCACGTGCCATCAAATTCCAATTAAACTAATAAAAGAGGAAGGCACTAGCAGCCACCCATGAGAAGCTGGCCTCTGGGAGCGAAATTCATCCCTGCTGCCTCTCAGCTAGCTGAGAAACTTCTCCTGTAGTGAATGAAAGCAACACACACTGATATGGTACGACACTTTCACCTATTTGGGGGGTCCACCATAGGACAGGGCAAATTACGATAAACAAATTGCAGTTTCTCCCACTGACTACAAAGGCAGCCTAATGTGACTGGGTTAGATATGGATATATGAAGTGTATATATGGAAATGTGAACATTTTAATAATTTTACATGAGTCTTACTTCAGGCTACAAGGTGCACTGTTTTTTCCTGGGCCCATAGGCAGGGATGGGAGGTAGAGCCTCTCAGTGAGACTGCTCAATTAGGGCCTATTGGTGGACTCAATATCCTGAAAAAAATAATTACAGATCTGTTTTTCACTGCTGTCAATCTTCATTTATTGTATGCATGAACACCTAGGATTTGGCAAAGCACCAATAAGTTATATTAAGCAAGGAATCCATAGGTATATCTAATGCTATAAATACAATTCGCTCATGCATTTATCTGTCCTCATAACACACATCTTAAGATTACTAGAACCATTTTACAGGTGTAAAGGCACAGAATACTTTCCTTCACTTGCCAAAGAGACCACTGCAAACCCTTGTCTGACATCCCGCACCATAATGTTCTGTCAGCAGTCAAAGAAAGTCAACAGAAGATCAAAACTGAGCTTGTGCATCGCAGTTCCTTTAATTTTTGTTATTGCAGCACTGATACTGTGGTAGCATGTAAACAGAGCCAAGTTTTGCTTCTCAGCAATACAGACAAAGTAAATTTTGTCACTAACGTTAAAGGATGGGGGGACCTGGCAGGCAGAAAGGCTGTTTTTGTCATAGATGAGGAAATGGGAACCCACGCCCCAGCTCTGCCCTTGGCGCGGATGCTCTTCCACATCCCTGCACCAACTCCTGTCACTCTACTCGCTGTAGCAGCTCACTTGTTCCACATTGTGTCCGTTCTGTACTAGAGGAATGGTCTTATATGATCCTAGGTAGTTGTACAGCGTTATATATAGTAAGATATTTCTGTGAGTGAGAAATAAATGAGCTGTCCTACCAGAAGCAGTAACCAGAAATTTGGAATGAAGCCCAAATTCAGAAAACATTTTTGTTTCATCAACTTCACTGGAGCTTTACTCTTCATTATCCTTGCTACTGCTTTTACTATTGAAAAGCAACAGTCAGATAAAATTATTTCTATACAGATTTTAGAGTTCTATGCCTAAAAGGAGTTAAGAAGTTATTTTACTGTAGAACAAAAAGAATAGATTCCCTCCAGTTCCCCTATATCTCCTTTGACATATTTCCTATGTTCTACAACATAACAAAGGCATGGGTCACAATAGCCCCCTTGTATACAGGTCTCTAATTCCACATGAAAACATTTTGTTTATATATATATTTATATATATATATAAATCTGTTATTAATGATGTGTAACACTGTTTATATCAGGGCAATTTTAGTGGGCAGCATAGATTTGCAGTTTAAAATCCTGAACGCACTGCTCTAACTATAGGGAGACTTCTCCAAGTCCTGGCTTGCAAAGCTTTGACTTGAACTAAGAAGAAGAAGAAAAAAAAAAGTCTACTTGGCAAGAGCTTTAATTAGCAGAAATTTCCACGCTAGGAATATTATTCTGCATGAGCAGAAATTGCATAGCTCTTGCCTCTAGATGCCTTAGAGATGCCATTGATTGGCCATATTCAGAACAGGGGAATTATGTGACCCAGTGCTAATTTGAATTCCTTTACCAAACACATTTTTATTTCATCATCTCAGCTGCATAAAAGAGTCAAAGTACCAGAGCTTTAAAGACTTTGAATTCCTGCTGTTCTGCAATAAAATAAGGCAAGAAATATTAGCCATCCCTGGTTGATTCTTTAATTCTTTCCCAACAATGTCAAAGTATCAGTGTCCTACAGGTTTTAGTGCAGGTTAAAGACTGATACAAAGTGGATGCTTGAATAGCAGTTCGGAGTGAGTTAAGGGGAGAGAGAACATTTTAATGGGACATGGGTCCAAAATAGCCCAGCTTGTTCCTACCTCCTGCTGCCTCTTCCTCCTTTTCACAGGACCTGGATTGTATAGAAACAGCACAGACAAAAACCCCAAACGACAAAAGGTTCCCTCACACCCCCGGCAGAGGCCATGAGCGCGCTACCATGGAGAAAAAAATAAAGCATCAAAGGATAGTTTGGCTTATTTATAAGCAAAGATTAATTAATGGGAGGTTTGATACTTTAGCAACTTATGTTTGGGCAAATTTGTATTTGCAAATTGTTCGTCTCATACATTCAAGGGGCAYGGAGCAATGTGGCCTGCTGCTAATTTTAAAAATGAATCAAACCTTTCTTTACCATGATCCAAAAACTACAAACTTGTGGTTCAGAGGCTTTCAATAGTATCTGCTCAGATTTGGCACTCCAAGGTTAAAAAATCACAAAAGGGTTGTGTTATACACAGCAACAGTAGCTTTTTCCAACAATTTTTCAATTATTGCATTGTGTACTCTCCAAGAAAAGTAACTGTCTTGGCTACCCAAGAACAAGTTTTAAAACAGAGGCTGAATGAAAAAATTCCCCTAAAATATAACACTTTCCCTTGTAGGTTGTCTTTAAAACTGCTGTTCATTACAGCAGCATTTATACTCACTGGGTGACTATAAACTGTACAATTCCAAACTACCTGTGTCCTGTGACCAATATGCATGACAAGCACCATTCACGTTTATTCCAACTCCGCACTCCACAAGCCACAAAAATCCCCCAGAAACTCGTCCCGCTCTTCCCCTCCTTCCCATCACACATGGAAGTGCCCCAGTGACCCAAGGCCACCATGGCCGGCCACTTCAACCCCTGCCATCAGCTGCCTGCYGGACGTTATCAGCGCCCCTCGCTGCACCCTGGGCAAGGTCGCAGCGGCTCTTCCCAGGGGCAGCCTTTCCAAGGACCCCAGATTTCCTGCAGGATCCTTGCAAGGGGCCCTCTTTCAAGCACTGCCTTCCTAAGCAGGCTCCGCCGCTGGGAATGGGAAAACTCRCTGTCTTGCTGTGCACACGGGTGCAGCTCTTCCTCCTCCTCCTCTTCCTCCTCATGCTGGCCCTGCCACCCACCCTCCTGCCCCTTCTTCTCCTACGAGGGGTCTTCTGGCCCCTGCCCGCCAAGGTGCCGTCCTGCCACCCGGCGGGGACTCACGTCTCCGATCAGCGGCCGAGCCCTAGGCAATTCAGAGCCTCTCCCCGCTCCGCTTTAAAGCGCGGAGAAGCCGCTGCTTGAGGGGGGGACGCGGCTCCCCCAGTGCCCGGAGCCCCCCGGCCCCGCTCCGCCCGGCAGCCCCGGGGATTGGCCCGGCGGCGGCAGCAGCAGCGGCGGCGGCGGCGGTGGCGGGGGGGCC